TGTGCACATTGTGTAGATTTGGGAGCTTAAAAAGAAAGTGATAGTGATAGTCTTAAAAATGTTAGAAAATAAGTAGTTTAAAGCTTTGATTAATGGAGAAAAGAACATTATATGAAATATTATTCTAGAAACAATGATATTTATTCAGTAGTTAAAGAGTTAGTGAAGAAGAATATTTAAATATGATTTAATTATACTTATATTTATTTTCTGATATTAAAAAAAATATTATTTTTTATTTTTATTTTTTATAATAAAATAAAATCATGTTTATTTTGGAAAAATTTATGTTATACTATTAAACATAATATATAGTTTAATTAAGAACATTTTATTATTTAAACTTTTACAGTTTAATATTTAAAATATTATTATAATCAAGAATTTTATTTATGAGTATCTTTATTAAAATAAATATTGTTTTATTTTTATTGCTAACTAAAATATTAATCCATTAAATTTTTGCTATTTTCTCCATATTCTTCTAATTTATCTGCGTTTGTTATAAATACATCATAAAACATGTTTCTTTATTAAAGTTTTGGTAAAATAGAATCATTTTCTCTCAAAAACTTTATTTTTTAGGAAAAAAAAAAAAAAATTATTTATTATATACAAAAAATTTACTTTATTTAATTCTCTTCTTTCATTAATTTTATTCTATAGCCATTACATAAAATCTTCATTTGTTTCTGCTCTGTAACAATTTAGGCCTTTTTAAAATAAAATTATATATAATTCAAAAATTATTAATGTGTAAATATTTGCTACAAAAAATTGTTTTTAAATATTTAAGGAATTCATTATATATTATTTTATTATATTAAGATAATGAATTAAATAATATGTTTTATTCCCCATTTAATATAATTTGTGAATTTTTTAATAGGTTAATTAATATATTATTCGAAAAAAAAAAAAAAAAAAAAAAAAAAAGTAAATTTATAATTAATTGCATAAAAAATATATCTTTAATAAAAAAAATACTTATATCATGAAAATTTTTGCATTAAAGACTCATCTTTTTTCCTGTGTGCATTAGTTCTTGACATTTTTAAAATGCTTCTAGATAACTACTGCAAGTAATCTCACCTAAAACCGGATGTTCGATATATTTATCAGTTTTTATTGAATTATAAAAAGCTAAAAGCATTTTTATTTATTTTTAAAAAATAGTTTAAATAAAAAAAAAAATAGAAAAAAATAATATATATATATATATAAAAGATATTTTAAAATATAAAAAGTATAAATTTTATATATGAAAATTTTATATCATACTAAATATTTTATATTATAAAAAAACTTGATTTTTTATAATAATTATAAATAAAGAAATAATATTTTTACATTTATAAGAATTTTAGTTTTAAAATTTATTATATATAAAATAGCAATAGTACATTCATTTAAATTTAATATTATCTTTATTTAAATTAATTTTTAGAATACTATTAAAAAGTTGTTATATAAAAATATTAATTAAAATAATAATAATATAAAAAAGATATTAAATGAATTTAAACGATAACTAAATTGAAACAAATTTAAATTAGCTTCTTTAATAAGTACATTTAAATATTTAAATACCTGAAAATTAATTTATAAGCAAATTTTTAATTTAAAATTATAAGGTTATTAATTAATTAAACACATTCGTATAAAATGAAAAGGAAAAACATTAGAAAAATGTAGAATATTAAAACTTCAACTAATTAATAGATATAATATAAAATAATTTCAACTAATTAACAGAGAAAATCGAATAGTGTCTATTAAAAAAGGAGTAAATTTTATAAACATGTTTCATACGAAAATATTATATTAATTCTTTTAATAAAATTAATTTTATATATGTAATTTATATAAAAGTTAATAATATAATGAGTGTTAAATTAACGAAGATAATTAAAATTATAATGAATTAGAAAAAATGCTTTAGAAATATGAAGCTGAGATTAGAAATCATATTAGAGTAATTAAAATATTCCTTTATATTTTTATTTTTTTATTTTTTTTTTTAACAAAAAAAACAAACAAACAAAAAACAATCAAAAAAATAAACAAATATGTTTTTAGTTAAGATAGTAATTGATGTTATATGCGGATTCTTTAAAAAATAAAATAGAAGATTAAGAAAATGAAAAATAACAATTATTAAATATTACTAAATAAAAAATAATTGTAAATTTAAATTATATTATTGATATATAATTTTATTAATATATATATTTTTGGGTAGTAATAAGAAAGAAATTGTTCATAGATGACAATGCAATTATAAAAGCTTTAAAGTTAAATTTAAAATTAAGATATTTAAATTTAAGAGTCGGAACTTTAGAATAAATAAAAACTAGAAACTATATAATAGCTTGAAAATTAAATAAAAGACTTAATTTATTATAAAGAAAAGAGTTTAAATTTAGAAAAAGTCATAGAAGTATTTAAATAAATATTAATTTTTTTTTATATATTTAACAAACAAACAAACAAAATAGGAATAAAATAAAATATGGAATAATTTACCTAAAAAATGTACAGTTATAAGGGCTAAAAATATAAATAAAATAGAATTAAAGAAAAAATATAATAAACAAATAAAACATTCTTCAGATACTGATTTAAAGAAGAATTTAAATTTATTAAATTAAAATAATAGAAATAATTAATAATTAAACACAAGCAGTATAAATGCATTGTATTAAAATAAGAATAATAATAATTAGAAATTATATTTTTCTCATAAAAAAGATAAAAAAAATTAAATATAAGGCTTTGTGAAAAATCAAATATTCATGAAATCTAAGAATAATACAAAAAACTAAACAATTAATAATTAAGGAAGCTTTAAAAATAGTTTGAATATTAATTTAAATAATAATTCTAATAAAAATATTATTAATAGTACTCATAGTAATAATAATGCACTTAATTAGAAATAATAATAAAACTAAATTAATAATTAAGCAAATAATAAAACTGTTAATATTAAAAATTAATAAGAAAATTTAATTATGAATAAATTATATAAATAAATTATAGATTAAAACAATAAATAAAAGTAAAACAATTTATTTTTATAAAATATATATATATATATATTAAAAAAAGTAATATTTCTATTAGTTCGATTCTTAATTAAAATAAATAAAATAATGATAAAGAACATTCAATTTTTTCTCAATTTATAATAGGATCAGATATAAATTCTATTAATCCTAAATAACATAAAAGATCTAAAAGTTCTTAAGCTAATAAAGTAAAATGTATGTATACTTAAGGATCTACTATGGGATCTTCAGGAAGAGCTAGTAGTTTGAATTATAGAAACAATCATAATAATAATTTATCAGCTATCTATTATTCTTCATCTAATTAAATATCAAATAAAGACTAATATTTGGATATAAGTTCAAATAGTAATTAAAATATATATTAAAAAAAATTTAATAATAACTCTATTTCAAAATAAAATAACTTTTCTACTAATCATTCATACTCTTGTAATAATTAATCAAATAGAAATGCACATAGTGCAAGTGGAAAAAGACCTTAATCTAGAAATTTTCATTAAAAATGAAATTTCTTTCTTTACTTTATTATTATATGATTATATATATAAATATAAATATTTATATATATATATATATATATATATATATATATATATATATTTTAAATTTTATAGATATTTTAATATTAAAGCAATTATATTCTTTTTTTTAAACATTTTAATTATGAATTTATATTTTTTTTAATAGATTTTAATATAAATATGTATTTATATACGTTTAAATATAATTAATTTTTATTAATAATATAATATTAATTATTGTATTAATAATTATCTCCATATTAATAATATATTATATATAAAACATTATATTTTTTTTTTTATTTAATAATATTATAAATTAAAATATTTTTATAATTTAATGTTTTTTTTTATAATAAAGTAATATCTTAAAAAATGTAATAATTTATTAATTTAAATTATTAAAGCTTTCACCAACTTTAGAAATTAAACTATTTTCTATGCTTTTCTTTAGGAACATAATCATAAAATTACTATGATGGATCAGTTATTTATTAAAATAACCCTGCTTTTTATATATTCTATTAATTATTTTAATCTTAATCATCATTAACTTATTAAAGTAAATCTTAAGGCATTGTAAATTTATCTTCATCTTTAATCCATCTTTCATGTTCTCTTGATTTTTCAGACTCTATCCTTTATTATTCTTTGATTTTATCTTGTTTTTCTTTCATCATTTATTAAATGATAATTCTAAAAGGATTTTAAGTAACAATAATTTTATCTATAAAAATTTTATTTTTTGGACGATTATCGTTTTATATATCAGATTTATTTATTTTATGCAAAGCTAATTAATCTCCTATTATTTCACCAAAAGCATTATGTTTTTCGTCTAGCCAATAACATTGTCCAAGTGTAATAAAACTAAAATAAAAAATATATATAAATATACAAATATATACATAAATATATATATATATTTATTTATATATATTTTTATATATATATATTTATATATATATATTATTTTTTGTTTTCTATAAATTATTTATATTAATTTTAATAAATTTCAATAAAATTATATATTTTATTATCTTTTTCTTATTAATATATTTATAAATTAAATTAATTTATATTATATATTAATATATATTATTTAGTTTAAATAAAAAATTACAATTAAGATCCGTTTTAATTAGGACCTGAATTCGCCATACTTAAAATTCCGGGTTTATTATGTTTTATTTTATGATGAAATTCATCTTCGAATTTCCCCCCAAAAATAGATTAACCTCCAGTTCCGGTTCCTGTAGGGTCACCTCCTTAGACCATAAAATCTTTAATTAATCTATGGAATCTAGTTCCATTATAATAACCGTTTTCGGCTAGTTCAAGAAAATTTTCTGATGTTAAAGGTACAAAATTAGCATGAATAACTATTTATAATGTACCTAAATTTGTAATCATGGTTGCATATCCTTTCATTTGTTTATTTTTGACTTAATTATGTATAATATTTCGTATTTCTTCTTTTGTTAATCCACGATATTCTATTATATTTTAGTTTTTGGAAAGCTAAGTAGCTGTACTAGTTACACTCATTGCAACTTAATTATTAGACTGATGTTTATGTTAAAATTCTTGGTTTCTGTCACACATTTCAAGGTATTATTCAACTGAAATTTACTGGTTTTTTATAAGTATTTCTTTTTCTAATTTAATTTTTTTTTCTATTTTTTCGAGTTCTTCTTGATCTTTTTTTTATTTTTCTTCTTCTTCTTTATTATTGTGCTCTTCGAATTTTTTCATGACTATTTTAGTCGATTCATCTTTATTTATATATGAATTATCAGCTTCGACTATATTTACTGAAATATTATTTTTTATATAATCAAAATTGCTAATTGTTCTATTTTATATATTCTAAGGGTCCTATAGTGTTATTATGTCTTTTGGTTAAAAAGGTTCCCCGGAAACTAAATCTTTCCAAAATTTAGGTTTACGGTTTAATTCTTCAACTGTATCCATTGCGTAGACATTTCCAGAGATTTTTATGGCTACTATATGGGTATATTCAGTGAAGGTTTTAAAAGATATGGGATCATGGTATTCTTCTTTTTCATTTTTATGGAATGTAAGCTTGATTAAGTCTTAAGTTTTTAGGTCTTGGCCTGTTACTGGATTTTTTTTGTATTTCTTTATATATGGAATTATTGATATTAAATCGAATACAATACCATCAGGGGAACAAACGGGATTTTTGAATGGAGTTAAACTTAAACTACAACAAAAAAACGGAAGCTTTGTCATAGGGACTTTTTCAGGATCTTTTTTACCTCCCCATTCTTATGTTTGTTTTTTTTAAAAAAAAAATAAATATAGAAAATATTAATTTTTAAAAAACCCATTTTATGTTCTGTATAAGAAATAAACATTCGGTCTTTTGTATGTCTGTGTTTGCCCATTTTTTATTTTGCTTTTTTAATTTAAGGGAATTATAGTTTTTGTTTGTTTTTTATAAATTAATAAAAAAATTTATATAAAATTATATTTTATATGTCTAATATAATGACATATACAAATATATTAGCTATAAAATTTAGAAATTTATTTATTTATTTCATTTATAATTATAATATTGAAAAATATTATATTAATACAAAAAAGATAATATAAATTTTATCTTAATATTTAATTTTTTAAATATATATATATTTTTTAATATATATAAAAAGATTTGTATAAATAAAAATGGAAATTGAATAAGTAAAAGTAATAAATAATTTTTAATTTTAAATTTAAATCGGTAAAATAATAAAAAATATAAATAATTATTAATCATTTTAATTAAAAGAAAATTCATTAAATTAAAATTATTTTGAATAAAATTGGAAAGAAATAGAAAAATTTTTATTATAAATATATAATCAAGAGGATATAAGTACATTTTGCTATCAATATTATTATGAAGTAAAAAAAATTAATACATATAATATAAAATATATATATATTTATATTGGAATATATAAAAATAATATATTATATATATATATATATATATATATATATATATATATATATATATATATATATTTATTTATTATTAGTTAATTGAAGATGTTTGCGATAATGATTTTAGCGAACTTTTATATTAGAATTTACAATAATTTTACTCAAATAAATTTAACTAAGATCTTAAAAATTTTGAAACGTATATATAAATAAATATTTTTATTTTTTAAATAAATTAAACTAATAAAAGGAATGATAAATTATTAGATTAAATGGAGAATTAATGGATTAAAATTAAAAACTCTTTATTTATATTAAGCGAAATATTTAAGTAATTCGAATGTTAATATTTATATAAATCAAAAAATCCATAATTTGAGTTAATTTTACTATAATCATTATAATTTTAATTAAATAATAATTTTGTAAATTTAAAACATATTTTAATATAAAAAATGCTTGAATATATGTTTCTTTTAAGAGAAAATAAATAAATAAATGAATAGTAACTATTCAATTTAATGAATATGATAATAAAAGTAAATATATATAATTAAGATTTCAAAGATGTTTTTTTATAATAATCTAATGAATATTATTAAAATTTATCTAAATAACAAGAAACTAATTTTAATTTACCTAAATATTTATGTGAAATTGAATATAGACTTAAATTAGAAAATAATCTAATAGAAAAATATTTATCTAAATCGACTTCTAAATAGCTTATTGAAATTACTGAAAAAAATCTTATAACTAATAATCTTTAATTGATTTTTGAAAATGGTTTTAATAATATTATTTAAGATAAAGATTATGAAAGCTTAAGTAGATTATTTATTTTTATAAATAGAATTGATAAAGTCGATTTCTTAAAAAAAAGCTGGAATTCTTATATTAAAAATTAAGGAATAATAATTATAAATAATGAAAATTAAGTTGAAATTGTAGTTTAGTTAATTAATTTATCTTAATATCTCGATACTATTGTTTCTAAATGTTTTGACAATAGGGAAGTTTTAAGAACATCTAAGATATATGCTTTAGAATATATTCTTTCTTTAAAAACGAACACACTTGCTGAACTTACATCTAAATACATTGATAGTAAATTAAAAAAAGATAATAAAGTAAATATATATATATATATATATATATGTTATAAAATAATATAAATTTTAAATATTTTAAATAAAGACAATTTAAAATTATGATTAAATTGAAAAAGAAGTAAATGACGTATTTGAACTTTTTAGATATTTACCCGCTAAAGATGTTTTTGAAGCTTTTTATAATAAAAGATTAGCAAGAAGATTATTATAAAATTAATCATATTCTAATGATTTAGAAAAGCATGTAATAGAAAGATTAAAATAAGGTAAATAAATATTAATTTATAAAAAAAAAACAAATAAAAATAGAATGTGGTGAATAATATACTATAAAAGCGGAAGAAATATTAAAAGATGTAAACAATTCTAAAAGCTTAAATAAAGAATTCTAAGATTTTCTTTAAACAAAATATACAGAATTAAATTAAAAAATTGGCTTTTAAATATCAGTATTATCTTCGGCTTCTTGGCCTATTAAAAATACACCTCTTCCTTAATTACCTTAACCAGTAAAATTGATATTTATATATTTTAAATTTTAAAATGTAGTTTTCTTATTTCTAAAATGAATTTAAAATATTCTATTTACTTAAACATAAAGGTGTTTTCCTAAATTGGTAGCATGAAACTAGTAATTGTGAAATTAGTGGTATCTATGGTTAAATGAAAGTAAACAAACGGAAACAAAATTATATATTTTATTTTATATATTATTAATATATATATATATATATATATATATATATATATATATATATATATATTTTAGTATACTTTCTAAGTACATGTTATGTAAGCTTTGATTTTATTAAGTTTTAATGAAAATTCACATTTAACTTTAGCAAATATATTAGCTCTAATTCCTATTAATAAAGATGAACTTAAAAAAACGTTGGTTTCATTGTATAATTTGAAACATACTTAAAAATTACTAAATAAAACTGGAGAGGTAATTTTAAAATTAAATTCCTATATGTATATATATATATATATATATATATATATATATATATATATATATATATATATATATATATATTTAAAATACAAAGCCAAATTAAATTGAAGATAATGATGTTTTTGAAATCAATGAGTCTTACAAAAATAAAAAGAAAGTGGTAAAAGTCTGTGCAATATTTTAAAAAGAAACGGTAATATTTTTTATTATTACAATATAAATATATTTTATATTATTTATTATTATCAATTAATTTCTTTTTTTAAATTATTATATTATATTTTTTTATTTTTTATTAAGATAATATTATATTTTCTATTATTCTTATAATATAATATTTTTTTATATAAATAATTATTAAATATTTGTTTTTTTATTTAGTCAGAAGATTCTAAAGAAACTACTGAAAAAGTCATTACAGAAAGGGGTTATATTTTAGATGCTAGTATTGTAAAAATCTTAAAAAATAAAAAATCTATACTACATAATGAATTAATGAAAGAATTATTTGAAGATATTATGCTTCCTATTAATGTTTATATTTAAAATAAAGATTGTTTATATTTATTTATTTTTTAACAAAGGCTAATGAGGTTAAAAAAAGAATAGAAGGTTTAATTGAAAGAGAATATATCAAAAGAGATTAAAATAACCATTAAATGTATCATTATTTAGCATGAAATAAATGAATTTTATAGTTTCTTAGACAAAAAATATTTAAACAAAAAAATGAAATATATTAAATTATTTATTATAATTTTATTTTCTTTTAAAATAAATAAATTTAAATTTTAGTATAATTAAATTATTTTTTATTAAAAAGAAAATATATATTAATATATATATATATATATATAATTTTTTTTTTATTCAATATAAATAATTATATTTTTATTATTTTTTTTTTTTAAAAAAAATGACTATTTTATTATATTTTTTTAAAATAATATATATATGTAACTTTATATGTAATTTTTACATAGATATTATATTATAATTTTATTTAAATCTATAAAAATAAATTATACTTTTAAATAATTTCTATTTGATTTTTTTTAAAAAAAATAAATAAAACTATTTATGTTTTTTTTTTTTTATATTTTTATGATTAAATAATGAATTATTTTAATTCTTTTTCTTTTTTTCTTATTCAATAATAAAGAAAAAAACTATTTAAATTAAACTAAAAGATATTTAATATAAAACATTTTTTTTTTTTTAAATAAAAAAGAAAATATAAAATTAATTAAAAAATATAAAATTAAGCCAAATGAACTTAACACAATAAAAGCATAAAATACTCGAATTTTACAGAGACAAAACAATTTTTATAACTGGTGTTACCGGCTTTCTTGGAAAAGTAATATTTGAGAAAATTATGCGGGCATTACCTTAAGTAAAACAAGTAATAGTATTAATAAGAAACTAAAAAAACATCACTGTATAAGAAAGATTTAAAAAAGAAATCATCGACAGTGAAATATTTTCCCTTTTAAGAAAACAAAAAGGCTCTTAATTTTATAACCACATAAACGAGAAGACATAAGTAGTTTAAGGAGATCTATTTTAAGATAACATCGGTCTTTCATAAAACGATTATAATTATATAATAAATAAGGTCAATATAATAATAAATTGTGCCTCCTCTATAGATTTCAACGCCAAATTAATAGATGCAATAAACATCAATATATAAGGCACTTTAAGGATTTTCGAATTAGCGAAAAAATGCAATAATTTATGTAATTTTGTCCATATTTCTACCTGCTATGTAAATAGTGATAAAGAAGGCTATATTGAAGAAAAAATATACAAATGCTCATAATAAGAAAATCCTATTGAATTTTTGAATTAATTAACTAATATGCCTCCTTTAGAACTTGAATTTTAAACTAAAAGTATATTAGGGTCTTATCCGAATACTTATGTATTCACAAAATCTTTAACTGAGAGAATTCTTTAGTTTAATAAACCAGATAATATGTCTTTAACTATTATTAGACCTGCTATTATAGGAGCTGCAGTTGAACAGCCTGTAAAAGGATGGGTATAAGGCGTAACGACGGCTTCTGCAGTGTTTCTTTTGTGTGGAATTGGAATTATTAAGCATTTAAATGCTAATCCAGATAATATTGCAGATGTAATTCCAGTAGATTGTGTTTCTGATACTATTATTGTTAGTGGGGCTTTATGCGCAGGTTCTTAAAATTTGAGAATTTTTAATAACGGGATTTCGTATAAAAATCCGATTAATTGGGAACTTACAAGGTAGTAATGTACTATTTATTGGTAGAATAATCCTTATGCAAAGTAAATAAGCCCTGTTAATGTAAAACTTATTAAAAATGAGAGAATTTTAAGTGCTTTGTAAGTCAAGAGGAGGATTCATGCTTATGGATTTAAATAAATCGCGAATATTTTCGGAAACGATTAGATGAAAAAAAATGCGGAAAGATTCCTAAAAATGGTGCATAAAGCATAAAACTTTAGCGATATTTTCAAACCTTTTTTTTTGAGAGAATTTATATTCGAAAGTAAAAAAGTAGACGAACTTTTAGGATAAATGAGTGATTTGGAGAAAAACATTTTCTATTTAGATATATCAAAAATAGATATGGAGTCATATTTTACTATGTTTAATTGGGGAATACATAAGTTTATTTTAAATCAATAGATTGAAGCTCCCTTTTCTGATGAATTTACTGATGTTCTATAAGTTCCTTAGTATTCTAATAGTAAGTTAAGTATTTTTCCACATCTTAATTATGTCCTTACTTGGGGAAAGGCATTTAAAACACGCTCTTATTAGGAATATAAACTACTTATTTTGAATTCTTAAAAAGTTTAAGAGTAATTAAAAAATCAACAAAATCAATAGGAGGCAGAAAATATAATAAAAGAAATGATTTCCAATTTCAAAATGCCGTATATAAGGGCTATGGCATGGTTTTTATAGAAAACATTCAGTAATATATATGAGAAGATTTTAATTTATGATAAAAATTTGAAATGCTTAATCCAAAATTATGATATTAATAAAGATGGACCAATGATAATGATACCTACTCATCGTTCATATGTAGATTTTTTGTTAATTTCTTATATTTTTTTTGCTTTTAAAATGTAAACTCCCCATATTGCTGCAGCTGAAGATTTCCTAAATATGGCCATTGTACATTATATATTGAGAGGCTCAGGTGCCTTTTTTATGAAGAGAAATTAGAAAAATAATAAACTTTATAAGGTTATTTTCCATGAATATATATAGATTTTACTCGAGAACAATTGCATGTTGGAGTTTTTTGTTGAAGGGACAAGATCAAGAAGCGGGAAAATGCTTCACCCGAAATTCGGGATTATGGGAATTGTATATGATGCAGTTTTTTAAGGTAAAATTAAAGATGCGACAGTATTGCCGATTTCTATTTCATATGAAAAAGTATTAGAAGGGGATAGTTTCCCGGCTGAATTATTAGGAGAAAGTAAAGTCAAGGAAAGCCTGAAAAGATTAGTCAAAGCAGCGAATGTTTTAAAGTAAAATTACGGGAAGATTTTCGTGAATGTGTGTGAGCCTTTTAAAGTTAGTGAGTATTTAAATAATGGAAACTAATCGAAAGAAAATATCCACTAGATATCTTTAAGAGTCACCCATACTCTTAATAAGGCTTTGTATTGTACAAATACGGCTATTATTAGCTCGATTATACTTTCTTAAAGAAAAAAAGGAATAACTGAAGATTAGTTACTTGATAAATATTAATGGCTTATCGAAAAAATAAACTAAAGAGATGGAAAATTATCTAAATATGATATATAGGAACCTTATTTAGGTACAATTAGGAATGGAATTAGACTTATGGAAGGAGTAGTTTCTTTAAAGAAAGGTATTTATTGTGTAAATAATGGTGATAAAAAGAATATTTTAATGTTACATTATTATAGAAATGGAATAATGCATTTATTTGTATAAGAAGCTGTTGTCTGTTTGGTTATGTAGACTTTTTTGTAAGAAAATAATAAAAATAATAATATTAGTATAAACATAAATAATTTATATGAAGAATGCAGCTATATTTTTGATTTGATAAATGAAGAATTTTTTTACTAATATGTTTAAAATATATAGGAATTTAAGTTGTTTTTGGTAAATTAAATGTAGAAGAATAAAGTCATTTAGATTAATTAAGATTATATCAATATTTTGGATTATTAATAATTAGGTTTTTATGGAAATCTTTTATTACCGGTAATTGAAAGTTATTGGCTTCTTTTTATGACTTTTTAAGGACAATAATAAAAAAAAGTGTCTACTAAATAATTTATTGAAAAAGTTTAATGGTTATTTGAAAAAATGTTCGATGAGAAAATTTTAACACATCATGAGTCTTAGTCTTAAGATATTATTAAAAATGCAATAAATAAATGCAAAAAAATGGGTTTTATTAAAAGTGTGGGAGATGATCAATATATTTAAGTTGTTATAAATGATTAATAAATATAAAATATTGATAAAAAATTAGGAGTTTTCTTAAAAATTGAATTATAAAATTAAGGTAATAATATTTCACCTTCGTTGTTTGGAAAGCAAACTGCGTTAGCATAAAATAATCTTTTTTATAAAAGTAAATTATGATAGATTTATTAAGTTATTATTATATATAATTAATTTGATAATTATTTATATTATTATTTTAAAAAAAAAAATTAAAATTTTTATAAATAAATGTTATATATATATATTATTTAAATAAATGTATATTAATAAAATTTTAATATTTTAATTTTTAAACAAATATTTAATATACATCAACGAAAAAATTTATATTTAAAAAGAAAAATGTAAAACTTATAATTAAAAAAAGCAAAATAAACAAGATTTTCAACTTAATTTGAAATAAAAGCAAAATATAAGGATATTTCTGGTTATTCTGATAAAAGTTAATCTAGTTCTTAATTTGAAAATGAATTTCCATAAATTCGTTTAAAATAGAAGAGCAAGACGATTAATCTTACTGATTAAAAACAACAAATATTCAATTATTTTTAAGACTATTTAAAAAAGACACAAATAAAAAGAGATAAAGAAAAATCAATAGATTCTTAAGTAATTTCATTAAATAATATTATTGGAATTAAAAATGAGAGAAAATCTTAACAAATATACTAGAATAGAAATAAATCAAATATAAATATTACTTCAATCTAAACAATAATGAATAAATAAAATAATATTGAATAGACTTCTTATTTATTTAATTCTGATAATTTAAATAATTAAATAAGTAAAGCTAGAAGGAAGTATTTAGAAGAATAATTTAAAAAATTATAAGTTGATAATATTGTTAATAATAAATAGCTTAGTGATGAATAAAAAAAAATAAAACTCTAAAATTTGAAACACTCATAATTAGTAGAAAGAGTAAAAGAAATAATTTTAAAAAACAAAAAATTATATAAAAGCTAATATCACACAGCTGATAAAGAATAGAAGTTTTTATTTAATCTTTCCGTTTTTAAAGAATTGTAGACTTATTTGGAAGCTAAAGAACTTATGGAGTCAATATAAGATATTAAAAATAAACCTAAAAATTAAAATAATTAGAATTAATTAAATAATTAAAATGATTAAAATTAATAACTTTAAAATAAAAGTTAAAGTAGATTAAGTTTGTTATAAAATTCAAAAAAAAAATATAAATTAATATAAGAGTCTAATGAATATATCTAAAATAGTATATTATAAAAGAAAAGAATATTATAATAATAATAAATACCTTATCAAATACTTTAATGTATAGAAAATGAACTTTAAAATGATGATGAGAACGTTTTCGATGAAATATAAGATAATAAAGACTTTTATAAAGTTTTAAAAAAATAATTATAGAATTGTAACAAAATAATTGTTTTTATATTAAAAAAAAATATAAAAAAATAAAGATAACGATTAATAATATACAATGTAAAATTAAAAAGAATAAGATTAAGAAGAATAAGAAAAAGAGAAATAAATTTTTTATAAAAAAAAGGAAATTTAATAAGAAGAAACATAAAAAGAAAATTTTGTTTCTTTAAAATAAAAAAGATAAGAAGAAATTAAAAATTTTCGAAAGTAAGCAAATCATTTTATTTAGCTTTTGAAATAAACGGGTTAAAGTATTCTAAAAAAAACATTATAGAAAAGCAAAATATAATAAAAAAAATAAGATAAGAAAGGATTCGTAAATAATAAATGATATTACAAAATTAAAAAGATCAATAAGCAAAAATGTTTAAAAAAAGAATATCTAGGTCTTCTTATATTTCTATTGTTAGTATAGCTGCTTAAGATGAGTTAAAAAATGGATAGAATAGTACAGTTTAATAAAAAAAAAACAGTATGAATAATATTTTAACTGAAAATAAAAGTAATAATAAAAAAATTAATAGTTTTCCATTAAAATTCTCTATAAATTTAATTAAAAAATCTTAGTATTTTATTTTATTAAAATTTTTTTTAAAGTATATTTTTTTTTGTATATAAAAAAGACATTAAAGTAATTAGAATAATAGTAAATAAAGTTAAAAATATGATGAAACAATAAATAATTAAAATAAAATATAGAATTCTGATTTATATTAAATAAAAAGTAAAAAAAAATAACATAATACAAAAGAATTAAAAAAGTTATTACAAGATAATAATTAAAATTAAATAAAAAAAAGTTATTTTGATATAAAATAGATTAATTAAAAGAAATATAACTAAGAAGTATTACAAACAAGTTAATAAAATCAAAATATTTTTATAACTAATGTAGGAATAATTCGAAATGATTAAATTAATAATTAAATATAAACAACCAATTAAAGTGAATAATAAAAATAATATATTTAAAGTAAATAAATAGTAAAATAACAATATTAAAAACTTGATAAAATCATTCTTAAAATTAATGAATTAAAAGATAAAGAGATTTAAGATAAATAAAAAACAATATAAGAAATAAATGAAATTGAAAATTAATATGAAAAAGAGTATTAAAATATATAGCCGGGAATTTTAGAATCATTAAGAAATGAATATAATTAAGGGATTGATAATCCTGAAAATATGTAAATAAAAAAATATATACAAAAAAAATAATTGTTTTGAATATTATATATTATGTATATATGTATATATGTATATATGTATATATGTATATATTTATATATGTATATATGTATATATGTAAATATGTATAAATGTATATATGTATATATGTATATATTTATATATATTCAAATTTATATATATTTGTTTTATTTTTATATATTTTTTTTATTTTTAATTTTTCATCTATTTATTATTTTTAATATTTTTTTTTTTTTATTTATTTAAAATTTTATTTAATTTAAAGCTTAATTTTTTCTTTTATTTATATATAATTAATAATTTAACATATCTTATTTTTGTTTATTATGAACTAAATATTACTTAAAATTTTAATATGCTTTTTATTTTTTCTTATTTATTCAACATAAGGTTTATATATTTTTTGAATTTGAATTTTATTTATATTTTTTTTAGGATTTTCATTTGGAATTATTAAATTTAATTCTATTTTGGATGGATATTATAATGTTTTTGTAGGTTCATTTTATATTTTTTAAGAAAAATTTATTGCAATATATAATTGTGTATTATATTATTATTATATTGTATAAATATTTAATTTTTATACTACAGAATTAAGAAACTTAGGATAATGTATATAATTAATTTATTAATAGAGTTTTATTTAAACTAAATAAAAATATATATGTTATTCCAATTTCTACATTAGACGAATAAGTAAATCTTGATTAATAATAAGAAAATTATAAAATGATTGTAACTATAAAAAGTAAGAAATTTATTTTTTTATATATATTTAATTTCATATAATAAAAAGATTCTGTTTAAAATGGATTAGCTATTTCATTTTAAGCATAATAAGGCGATAAAAGTTAAGAAGAAATCGAAAATAATTTCGAAAAAATAATTTAAAGTATTGAATAATAAAGTAACGATCAAGAATATATTTTAAATAAAAATGAAATTAAATCAATTGAATAATATTTTGAGAATTAAATGGCAAAAAAAATTTGTTAATAAAAATAAGATTTATGAAAAAAATAAAAATAAAAATATTTAATTTAATGGGAAATATATAATATTTTATTTATAATTAACTTTTTTTAAAATAATTTTAATTTATTTTAACAATTAATTATTTATTTAAAAATAAATAAAAAATAAGAAAATGATTAAAACAATCAAAAATCTATTTAATTTCTTCTTAGAAGATTAAGAGTTTTCTTTATTAAGTGGTGTTATTGATATAATAGTAGTAAAATGGCCCGATGATTCTTTAAGATCATCTGCTTTTCATGTTAGATTTGGCACTTTAAAAGTATTAGATACTGAGAACGTAATAATAAACATAAATGTAAATGATGTCCGTATTTCACAGGCTTAAATGTACCTATTGCCTGAAGGAGCTGGTTATTTTTTAGAAAAAAATGAAGACACAAATACCTTAGTTAAAAAATTAAGACCCTCTAATTCCCTTTTAAATTTATTTAATTTAAGAAAAGGATACAATAAAATAGAATTTATTATAAACACTGAACTTTAAGGAGAGCATGTAATTGAAGGGAAAATCTATTTATTTAACTATGAAGCAAAATTGGTTATTTCTGATGTAGATGGTACTATTACTAAATCAGACATAAAAGGTCATATAAATTATATGTTGGGAAAATAATGGACTCATGATGATATTGCATAATTATATACTTAAATTTAAAAAAATGGATATAAAATAGTATATTTATCATCAAGACCGATAACTTTGTATAATTATACATAAAAATATTTAAAAAATATTCAATAAAATGGATATAAAATGCCAGATGGACCTACTCTTTTGTCTCCTGATTTACTTTTAAATTCAGTTAATAGGGAAGTTATATTAAAAAAAGCGGATGAGTTTAAAGGGGCTTTATTGAAGGACATCTAAGGACTTTTTCCTATTGGAACTAATCCAATTTTTGCTGGATTTGGGAATAGGGATACAGATGCCATTGCATGCTTATATGCAGGAATTTAAGTGGAGAATATTTATATTATTAATGAAAAAGGAGAAATTGAGAATATTGGAAAAAGATAGATATTTAGTTATAAAAAAATTTATTTAAATTAATAAGAACTATTTCCAGTAATAAGAAAAGTAAAAATTCATTGAAATTAATATATTTGAATATAATTATATAAATTATACTATTATATATAAATTATTATATAAATTCAATTATAAAATTTATAATAAATAAAAAAATAAATTAATAAAAAAAATATTTTAAAATAATATGTAATTATATATATATATATATATCATTTATAATATATATAAAAAATTATTTTTATAATTAATAATTAAAATTCTAAATTTTATTTAAACTTTATATATAGTTTATAAAAAGATTATTCATAATTAATTTATAAAATTATTTTTTAATAATTTTTTTATTAAAATGAATATTTATTTATTTTTATCTATTTTTATTAACCATTAATCTTCTTTAAATACTTTACTAAACTTTTTGTTCAGTTTAAAGATAGTTTTTAATTATTACAATAAATTTTCCAAATTTAAATTAGATTTTATTTTATTTTTTAAAAATTATAAATTCACTTTTAATTCTTTTAATATTTATTTTTTATTTTAAGGACTATTATTCTATATTAATATACAAATTTACAACTCTATTAATAAATTTATAATTATAGAATTTTAATTTTTAAAATGAATTAATTATTTATTTTTTAAAATGTTTTATCTGCTTTCAAGAAGCCTAATTTAGAAGTTCTTCTCCAAATAAAAAAAATATAGGAATATATATATTTAAATCATTTTGAAGTTTTTGTTTTGTTATTAATTAATTTTTAAATATTATCTATATATATAAATTATTAAAAATAATGATATTCATCTCTTATTTTTTAAAAAAAATAAATAAAAAAGGATATTAATATAATCTAAATACTATTTTTTTATTTTATCTATTAATCAAAATAATCTTAATTTTCTGAATACTATTCATTACTTTATATAAAAAATATTTTTTTAATAAAGATACTCATAAATTAAAATCTTGATTATAATAATATTTTAAATATTAAACTTATAGTTAAAATAATAAATAATTTTTAATTAAAATATATGTTATTTTTTTTTAATTTAAAAAATAATATTTTTTTTAATATCAGAAAATAAATATAAGTATAATTAAATCATATTTAAATATTCTTCTTCACTAACTCTTTAACTACTGAATAAATATCATTGTTTCTAGAATAATATTTCATATAATGTTCTTTTCTCCATTAATCAAAGCTTTAAACTACTTATTTTCTAACATTTTTAAGACTATCACTATCACTTTCTTTTTAAGCTCCCAAATCTACACAATGTGCACATTAATCACAATCTGCGATATAACTTTGCATTCCTTAAGAAGAATTTCTTTTAGAAGCCCATTACCATGGATCTTCTCCTCCATTAGTAAAAATTAAATTAGTAGCCTATATATCTAATCCTCCGAAATAATTATTAGTAGCATCTACATCAGGGAATGCCCCTTCATAAGCCTAATTGCACCATTCTTTCCAATAACCAAGGTCTAATATAGAACTTCTAGCCGAATATTCCTTACTTGGAGTAAAGAACCATCCAAATTCGCTACAAACCTGATAAATGATAAAAGTTATTAAAATTATTATTTTATAAAAATAAATTACCTAATAATACCACTAACGTGC